TTTATGTGAATTGTGTCTAAATTGTCACCATTTCTGTGAAGAAGAATTGTGGAAGATAAAGCTTCTGAGTTGATCTGGAGCCAAGTCACGGGCACTGAACGTCAGGTGAGGGGTGGTTCTGTGCCGCGGATCACGGAAGGCGCCCAGGGCGCTTTTGTCCTGGGGAAGCTTGTGCTTCAAGGCGGTGGCCCTGACAGTGGTGTATCCAGAGCAGCTGGGAGAAGGAGAGTGTGAAGATTAACTCCGTCACAGGCTCGGGGCAGCTTTGTCAGAGTTGAAGTTTGAGGATCATCAAGGTTTAATGTTCACAGTCAGGAAACTTGAACTTGTCCTTCGAGGCTTCTGCCTGGTGGGCAGCAGATGGCTGCCACAGACCCTGTGAGTGACAGCTGCCCTGCTCCCTCTGTGTCTTTTCCAGGGGAAAGCACTGGGAATGGGGGCTAGGGGTGCCCTCGCTGTGGCAGCGCCTCCAGACACGGGCAGCCTTCAGTCTTGGCCCTGGAATCGGCACCACAGGGCTCCCCGTGAGCCTCCCTTGGTGTCTGTCCTTGCTGGCTCCCTGCCTACCCAGCAAGGGCTCACTGGCACGCAGAGGGCAGACCAGGTGACGTCAGGAAACGGGGCAGGTGCTTGAAGTCCCTGGACTGTGCCTGCTGCCTGAGCAGCCGCCACCTCCCGGCACTGATTCCTCTCCTGCAGTGCACCACCCCATGCTCTTCTCATTGCCTGAGGCAGACCAGGTGGCCTGACTGGACGCCCTTGGCAGGCGCTCAGCCTGGGCAGCGGTAAACAGTGCCCGAAGGGCCCAGCTCTGCTCTGCAGCCTGGTGTTGCTGCCTGACTCCAGCTAAGCATTCAGAAACCAACAGCCAGAGCGTCTCGATCAAGGAGCATTTCAAGAAAACTGTGACAGTAATAGGCACAGCATTCAAGATCAGAATCCTATTGGGGAGAAAAAATTCACAAACACGCAGGTTTTGGGGGGTTATTTTTTGTAGAGAAACCGAGGTCTGCAGATGTCTGAGACAACAAATTGATGTGTCAGTCTTCACGTGAAGGACTGAGATTAAAACCCACTGCTCTTGACGTCTGAATAAGCAATACAGACAGTAAAGGATGAGTCCAGCAGAACCGTCCCCGCTAGCTGGCCTGGAGAGACAATGCAGTTGGCAGATCAGAGCCTCCGCAGTCTGTGGAACAGTGCCCTCCAGTGGCTGCAGATGCACCTGGAAATGACAACAAGGATGCTATTCTTAGTCTGGCTAGAGGATGAATGGTAAGGCCAGCATTTAAAGAGATTTATGACCTCGCTGTCTGTGTACATGTTATATGTGCGCAGCAAATAAGCAGGAAGACAGATACGATCTGGCTTGTTAACTGGGTGTGTGATTTCTTGATCACTGACCTATTAATTCTCTTATTAATATATAATGTTACCCTGGGTGTAAATTTAGCTGCCTGTCATTTATAATAACATTAGCAAGGTGACAGATCATCATTTGAGCAACAGCACTGCTTTCTGCCAAATCCAAGAGCCTCGATGATTACGTTTTAAAATGTGGTTAGGTGTGATTCTGAAGAGACGCGAGCACAGGAAGAGATAAGTCCAGGATCGGCATATGGGGCCTGATTTTATAAAAAAAAAAAAAAAATCACTCTGGCCTCATCCTTCTTTCTTGTCCAACAGGTCATTACAACCCAAAAGCTCAATACCGTATTTCCGAAAATGCAAATTAAATACCACCTCTCAAAATAGCCTTTCTTAACCAAAAATATCTTAACTAAAAATTTAGGGAGCTCTTAGTTAAAAAACCAAAAGATCAGACGGGAAATATCCAGATTCTTTCTCTCTCTCTCCCCACCCTCTTTCCTTTTACTGTGGAACACCACTAAAGATACGGTGTTTTAGAGACCTGTGGTCTGTGGCTTCGAATCCCCGATCTTGTGTGGCCCACCACTTGAGGATCTGGGCCCTGCAAAGTGGCGGTGCTGAATGAGGCTGGAGTTTGGGGAACTAAGGGCCTCAAATGTTTGGAGATTTTCATTGAGAATGACCCTCCATGTTTTACTTGCAGTACAGAAAGTCTTGAGTGTCTCCTGACTGGTGGGAATGTCACTTGTGTCCTTGTCACTGTGTCCTGGGTGGCAGCTCTGAAGAGGCTGAGCCCTGGGGCCCAGCAGACTGCCCCTCAGACCACGGGCTTGGCACGGCTCTCTTGCACCTGTTACAGTCCCCCCACGCCTGCTAATCCTTTGCTTGAACTCCTCTGGGAGACGTTTTAAAGTAAGCCTTTTGTTTGCGAATAGACTCATAGGTACAGAGAGGTTCTGAAGACGCACAGCGGCCCCTGCCCACACGGGGCCCCTGTTGTCCTGGTCTCCCAGTGTGGCACGCTGGGCATGCTGATGAGCAGCACCCGTGCATCATTACCGACCGAGGTCTGTGCGTGCTCACGTTTCCTTGGATTTTAGTTGATGCTGCCCCCACCCCTGCCGACCATCTAGGACACTGGGTCGTCTCTGTTGTCACCCTGGGTTCAATCCTTGCACCACACGCAGTTTTAAAAAAGGTTCAGGGTTTTTGCAGCTATCTTCATAAGACGTATCGGTCTGCTGTTTATTTTTAATGTCATTATCTGTGGGTTTTTTTGGGGGGGATTAAGATCATTCTCACCTTGTGGAGTAGCAAGGAAGGGTTTCTGACTCTTCCATGTTTTAGGAGAGTAGATTTTGCTTCTAGTTTAGAACATATATTTTTCTTGTGTGTTTATAAGAGTTGGTAAAAACTGGTGCCTTTTCTGTGATTCACAAG